GCTGACAGCCACATTACGTCGTCGTGGGGTGGTGTCCTCTCTTGTACTAGGGATCAGCTCCCTCCGGCCGCAGGGCAAGGAGAGAGGCAAGGGAGGGTCTCCCTCCAACCATGGGGAAAGCAGGGCCTATGCAGTGAAGAAAACACCCTCCTTTGCCATTTTTGCCCCTGTGAGCGGGAGTGGGGTGGGCGTCCCAACACAATGTTCACAATTGCTCATTTTTCGCCCCCATCATTGGGATGGCTAGACTTCTTCCTCTCCATGGTCCATGCCTGTGTTACTGGTTCAGAAGGGACCCCCAGCGGGGCTGGTAGGCTGAGGCTTTGTGTGTGTGTGTGTGTGTGTGTGTGTGTGCCTGTGTTCAGAACCCAGCACCGGCTCTTGTGCACAGTGGCTCTCTGGCGCACGGGTTGCCTAGCAACGGGCCCACCATGCGCAGCTGCCCTCTGGTGGCCGCAGGAGAAGAGACCCTCCCTCCTTCCCTCCTTCCTTCTGGTCTGATCAGGGAGGCTTTTTTGGGGATGAGGGAGGTTTCCAGATCAAACTGGAAAGCCCTCTTTTTTCTCTTGCGTTCTGGTGTTTTGTTTTGTTTTCCATGTAGGAGCCGAGAGAAACAGATGCTCCTCCACATCTCAGCTCGGCAAATGTCTCAGCAGAGACAAAGCAGGACAAGGTGGACCAGAGAACAACCAGCGTCCACGTCTCTCGTTTTTCCCCCTGACCGGCCAGAAGTGGTTTTTCAGTGGGAAGAATCCAGGCACAAGGTCCCTGCCTGAACGCAGATGAAAGGACAGCCCCACAGAGCCGAAGGGAAGCTGCCCACGGGTCTGGGGTTCAGCTCCGTAACAGGGCCCCGGGGGGGGCATGAACCGGGGTGAGCCACAGAGCCGGTGAGCGCAGGCCGCTGCCTTGGGGGACAGGGACGGGAATGGCTCGAGGTGGGCGGATGAATGAGGACCAGCTCAGAGGTCAGGACGGATCCATTTAGCAAATGGGGGAAAGCCATCCAGCTGCAGTTTCTCTGAGCTAGGCCCACGGATCCTCTTCTGGGGCATCCAAGAGAAGTGGATTGAAACCACCTGTCGTCCTGCAGCACGACTTAGGAGGCAGGCTGGTGCCCAGCAGTGATACTGGGGAGGGCGAACTGGGGAGAGGATCCCAGGGATACAAGAGTCAATCTTTGTCCTCAGACACGTGGCCGCCCTGCCACAACCAGCAGCACCAGGAGGAGAGGAAAGTGTGTTGAAACCCTGCCACGACCAGCAGCACCAGGAGGAGAGGAAAGTGTCTGCCATTTAAAAGAAAAATAGGAGACTAGGAAGTTAAAGAACAGCACTGAGAGCTACATGGCAGACCCAGGAAATGGGGGTCCATTTATCCACTCAGCCAGGGAAACCCACTGGAGGCGGTGGCACCAAAACCGCTCTTTAAAAATCTCACAGACCTCGGAAGGCTGGCTGGATAGCTCGGTGAATACAGTACAGTATGTGGTTGCAGAGCCAGAGGTTTGTGGTGGGCAGAATGTTGGGCCAGGACCCAGGAAATGGGGGTCTGTTCATCCACTCAGCCAGGGAAACCTGCTGGAGGCGGTGGCACCAAAACCGCTCTTGGAAGGCTGGCTGGATAGCTCGGTGAAAACTGTACAGTATGTGGTTGCAGAGCCAGAGGTTGTGAGTTCCATTCCCCCCACTGTAACCCCACTGTAACTAGGGGGAAGAGCCGGCCTGGGTGGTCTTGGGCCAGCTGCAGGGTAGACCCAGGGCCCCCCCCCCCTCTAGGGGGGAAGAGCCGGCCTGGGTGGCCTTGGGCCAGCTGCAGGGTAGACCCAGGGCTCCCCCCCCAAGAAGAAGAAAGGGATGGGAAACCACTTCTGGGTATTCTCTACCTGGGAAACCCCGGGAAGCGTCGTCCTGTGTGAGAACTGACTTGATGGTGCACAATTATTATTTGTACCCTGGACACCCTATTGGGGGTCGCCACAAAGTCAGAAACCACCCGGCAGAACAGCCCAGCGGAGAGCAGGTTCAAGCGTCAACCCCCCCCCCCCATTCCTTCGGGTTGCTCTCTGGAGCTCCGCGGGTGCAAGAGAGGAGCCAGAGGTGGCTGCCAGAGGAGAAGGGAAGGTCGTCTTATGAGACGTTGCCAAGGACTTCTTGACGGGTCTCAATCAATACAGAAACGACACCCAGCAGGGGCTGCATTTCACTCACTAAGCAGATCCGCTCACTGCTGCCTCAGCACTGGAACAGGGCCCATGAGCTGCCGGCCGGGCGGAAGAGGGCAAGCAAGGCAGAAGCTGCCACCAGTGGCCAGGTGGACTGGGGGGGGGCAGCGGCTCCTCCCTTCCTTCCAAGCCCCATAGAAACAGGTGGCACCAGCCATGGTTGTGGCACAGATTCTCTCTGCCCTCTCCTTCCCACGACATTCACCCACCTTGGGCCCCAAGCTCTAGCCTCAGCTGGCCTGTGACCCACATCCTTGGCCTGAGGCTGGCCTCGTGGTGGGGTGTCCACCACTCCTTCTTCAGCTGAAGGATTCCCAAGGAACGGGCAAGGGGGGGCTGCGTGGAAACTGCACGAGGAGGAAAGCGGATGACCCAGATCTGGGCGGAAAAGGGGATTTGTCCAAGCCCATCTTTCCAGTCCAGAGGTGGGCACCGTTGGCCCTCCAAAGGATGCTGCTGGCATTCCTTACTGTGAGGGGTTTCACAAGCTGGGGGCGATGGGATTTGCAGTCCAACAGCATCCCGCACACACACACACACCCCTCTGACTCTTTGAATTGAGGGCATCCGGAGGAGTTGGCCCTCCAAAGGATGCTGCTGGCATTCCTTACCGTGAGGGGTTTCACAAGCTGGGGGCGATGGGATTTGCAGTCCAACAGCATCCCGCACACACACACACACCCCTCTGACTCTTTGAATTGAGGGCATCCAGAGGAATCAATCCTCTTCCTGACCCTCCACCCACCCACCCGCCCGCCTGGCCTGTGTGAGCCAACCTTGCAGGGGACCAGAGGGGCTCTGTATGCGAAAGATCTCCAAGCAACCTACGTGGGCGAGCCCAGCCCCACGGTTGCCATGAGTAGCCACAAAAACCCTCTGGTCTTCCACAGGAAGATCTGGTCTGACAGGTGGGTTTGGGATGGGAGACTCCGCCTGTTGAGCTGCTGCAGTTGTGTCTCAACAAGGTTCAAGGTGGCCCCGGTTCCCTTAAAACCCGAATGAACTGTTTCAGACATGACTTCCTGCAGGAGACGCTGTTGTAGGACAGCAACCCCTTCCCATTGGCCCTGGTTTCTAGAAAAATAAAATTGTAAGTATTTATTACTTTTAGCTTTCAACTTTGTTTCTTTTACTACTATAAGCTGCCTTGGATCCTTTAGGAGAAAGGCAGAATTTAATTAATTAATTAAATTATACATTTAATTAATTAATCACACCCTTCCTTCTCAGCGGACCGAAAGGCACTGGATCACACCGCGTGCGCAGGAATCCTCCTTTTCCAACGAGGTTTCCTCCAAGGCTAAACCGACAAAAAAGCGCCCGCCTGCGCAGGATGAGCTCTACCGGGCGAACCACGACCTGGCGCGGCGCCCTTTCCAAGTGCGCCGCTCTCCTTCTCCGGCAGGGGGCGGCAGGACGACACTCTGGGCTCCTTCCCCGACTCTATCCCGGAAGGAACCCAGGGTGCTCGCCTGCGTTTCCGGCCGGGGCCTTTGGAACGACGGACCCAAGATGGCGGCGCCCAAGTCGGGCGAGCGTGTTCGGAGCCCCGCGGCGGAGCAGGCGGAGAGCGAGGCCACAGCCACGGTTGC